GTCCTGGAGGACCACTCTGATCAGGTGACCACCTGTCCTGGAGGACCACTCTGATCCAGGTGACCCACCTGTCCTGGAGGACCACTCTGATCAGGTGACCCACCTGTCCTGGAGGACCACTCTGATCAGGTGACCCACCTGTCCTGGAGGACCACTCTGATCAGGTGACCCACCTGTCCTGGAGGACCACTCTGATCAGGTGACCCACCTGTCTGGAGGACCACTCTGATCAGGTGACCCACCTGTCTTGGAGACACTCTGATCAGGCGACCCACCTGTCCTGGAGGACCACTACAACATGAAACAAAAGGTGTTTTTTCTTCTGCAGTCAAATGACCCTGGATAAGAAGACCACCTGTGCACGGAGGCCACATTTTGAAGGTCCCTGGAGCGATCGGCTTAGACAGATTTCATTGTATGACCAATGGGTGTTATATCCAGTCAAATGACCTGGATAAGAAGACCACCTGTGCACGGGGACCGCATTTTGTAGGTCCCTTGAGCGGTCGTCTTTGCCCGTATCACTGTACAGAAAAACCTGTCCAAGATGACCGCTCAAGGCACCTTGAAAACGTGGTCTCTGTTACCAGGTGGTCTCCTTATCCAGGGTCATTTGACTGGAAATAGCATCCCTTGTTCCTGGTTTCAGTGGTCTTCCAAGACAGGTGGTCGCCTTATCCGAGTGGTCTCCTTGACAGGTTTTACTATAATGGTGGTTTCTGTATGTTGGTTCTCCCGTTCATTGTTGTGTTCTCTCAGTTTGGAAGCATTGCCGCTATTCCTGACGACTGGCTTGATTGCAGGAGTGTACCATCCGGTTAGACTCTCTATTGATCTCCGCTACTGTCTTTGTGCTCGTGTGTGTGTGTGTGTGTGTGTATGTGTGTGTGTGTGTGTGTGTGTGTGTGTGTGTGTGTGTGTGTGGGTAGGTCTGTGTGTGTGTGTGTGTGTGTGTGTGTGTGTGTGTGTGTCTGTGTGTGTGTGTGTGTCTGTGTGTGTGTGTGTGTATGTGTGTGTGTGAATATGTGTATGTGTGTGTGTCTGTCTGTCTGTCTGTGCAGCAACTATATGGACACGTGTATATAACGCCAAAACAAATAATGACCTTGTTTCGGGTCGGCCGACCGGGGCCATCCCCCCCCCCCCCCCCAAATTCTGAAACCTTTTTGGTCCAAATGTATACGAATGGTGCCAAAGCCGGCCATGTTTTGCAAGTGCACTCAACGAGTCATAACTCAGTCAAATCTCAACCAAATTCAACAATCGAAATACCTACGAGGTAGCAGAGATTCTCAGCTGTCGGCTCGAAAAGCTCCGGTGTCGATACAAGCTAATATAACGGAACTGCAAGCACTCGAGCTCTTTGCTTGATTTCTCAGGATGTAGGAGATCAGGAATACACCACATGCTGTACAAGAACAATGAGTACTTGAGTAGGTAACTTTGACATTGAGTGACATTGATCCTTGCCATCATACATGTACAATGTACATGTGTAGGTGCTCTTCTCCATCATAACATAACGGTTGACGAACAAAACGAGTATCCAAAAACAGTTTCATTCCGGCCGACCGAGTCTCCTTTTTGAGGAGTTGCCGACCCGAAAAAGCCTATTTTTCATTTTTGGCCTAATAGACCTTCTTTTGAGCTTTATACCTGTCGTCCTCCGCTCCTGAAGCCACTTCTCTGTCTTTCACTAACTCTCTTTCTTTCTGTTGCGCTCTTTCTCTCTGTCTCTCTGTCTCTCTCTCTCTCTCTCTCTCTCTCTCTATTTCTCTCCCTCTCTCTCTCTTCTCTCCCTCTCTCTCTCTCTCTCTCTCTCTCTCTCTCTCTCTCTCTCTCTCTCTCTCTCTCTCTCTCTCTCTCTCTCTCTCTCTCTCTCTCTCTCTCTCTCTCTCTCTCTCTCTCTCTCTCTCTCTCTCTCTCTCTCTCTCTCTCTCTCTCTCTCTCTCTCTCTCTCTCTCTCTCTCTTCTCTCTCTCTCTCTCTCTCTCTCTCTCTCTCTCTCTCTCTCTCTCCTTTCCTATTTCTCTGTCTCACTTGGCACCTGTGATCATCATCATTGCCATGCAGATAATAGCCTCAGTCTTCAATGTTATCTACCTGCTGGGCCGGCTTATCTACGCTCAAGGCTACTCCACTGGAGGTGAGGCATTATGTTCAGGCATGGTGCATGTCTAGAATAAAGTGGAGGCACACAGAAAATCTGGAAAACTAATCGTTTGAGCATGCCTGTGCTGTTTTTGTTTGTTTTGGTTTTTTGGTTTTTTAACCCTTTAACCCTTTAAGAGCCGCCCCATACTTGAATGCGTCGTAAACGACGCATTCAAATGCAAAACTTCAAAAGATCGTAACTCAGTCCAATCTCGCTCAAATCCATCGATCCGAGGAACACGAAAAAATGCAGATTTTTGAAAATTTCCTGTGGCTCTTAAAGGGTTAAGAGCCACAGGAAAATTTCAAAATTCTGCATTTTTTCGTGTTCCTTGGATCATAGCTTCAGTTCTACTCACTCAATCCTCACAATCTAGGGCTTTCTGGAAAGGTCTCCGCGAGAGGAAGATAATGAGGTCGATCATGATAGCCAGCACACCATCTATCCAGCGTTAGATCGCAGCGACAGTACGAAAAATGCCCCAAATGCGTCCAATTGCGTCCCGCTCCAGATATTTCATTTTACTCGATCGTGAGTTCCAATTTTTTCGCTGTGTACTCTTGACAATATCAACAGTGAAACCCGTGCAAATTCAAGTAAACCAGCGTGACGAAAAGTCTCAAAATTCTCAATACTAAAGTCGCACTGCGCGCTTTTGAAATTGCCGCGATTGCGGCTCAACTTACGAGTGATTTATCTCAGGAACTGTTGCTTGCAGCGCTTTGCGGATTGTTTCTCCCGACAGGTGAGAGTTTTCTTTTCGCCCTGGATATTTCGATCACTGGATTTGAGCGAGATTGGACTGAGATACGATCTTTTGAAGTTTTGCATTTGAATGCGTCGTTTACGACGCATTCAAGTATGGGGCGGCTCTTAAAGGGTTAAAACTTTGGACTGATGCTAGAATGTGACGTCTCGAATTCATCATTACTTTGTCCTGTGTGTTTCTCCGTGTGTTGTGTGTGTGTGTGTGTGTGTGTGTGTGTGTGTGTGTGTGTGTGTGTGTGTACAGATCCGGAGAAGCGTGGCCGCGGCAGCTTCATGTACATTGGTTACCTTGGCAACGTTGGCCTGACGATTTACACAGCGCTGTGTCTTCTGCGTGTAGTGTAGTTGAATAGTTTGTGATGTCAGTTTGGCAAAAGCAGGTCTTTGCCGTATGCTGCATTAAATTGTTATGTGTGTAGGACATTTGTTCCTCGAATCTCTATAATCCACTTCATGTGTTCTATCCCGTTATGCTACATAATTTTTTAACTACACGCTCCCATATACTGTCTCTCTCTCTCTCTCTCTCTCTCTCTCTCTCTCTCTCCTCTCTCTCTCTCTCTCTCTCTCTCCTCTCTCTCTCTCTCTCTCTCCTCTCTCTCTCTCTCCTCTCTCTCTCTCTCTCTCTCTCTCTTCTCTCTCTCTCTCTCTCTCTCTCTCTCTCTCTCTCTCTCTCTCTCTCTTCTCCCCTCCCTCCCTCCCTCCCTCCCTCCCTCCCTCCCTCCCTCCCCCTCTCTCTCTCTCTCTCTCTCTCTCTCTCTCTCTCTCTCTCTCTCTCTCTCTCTCTCTCTCTCTCTCTCTCTCTCTCTCTCTCTCTCTCTCTCTCTCTCTCTCTCTCTCTCTCTCTCTCTCTTTCTCTCTCTCTATCTATCTATCTATCTATCTATCTCCCCCCCCCCACTCCCCTCCCTCCACTCCCTTCTTCTTTCTCTTTCCCTCACACTTCCATTTATCTGGTGCATCCAGAACGTGATGGATACCATCTACATGCAGGTCAAATTGCCGCTGTGCCATCGTCTATGGCTGTGTTTACAGGAGAATTGTCTACCCGGGTTAAAAGTCTGCCGGGTGAGAACAAATGGTGGGTGTTAACACGGAGGTAGTTGACTCGGGTCAATTACTGATACGCGGACGGAAGTTTTCTTCTAGAGTCCTGTATGTTCAGGCGACTGGTTTTAGGTGAAATTTGCGTGTGCAGTGCTGTCCAGTCATGGTGCGAAATACGCACACAAGTACAGTGGTACGATTTCTCGATTTCACCCCCCCCCCAAAAAAAAATCGGAGTGCAATTCGTCACATAAACACAGTTAATCTATGTACATGGCGGGTTCAATTCGACCCGGGTTGAAACGCCTTGTCATCACCCCCATACCTGGTTAATAAAATTATCCCTTGTTGATGTAAACAAAGCCTACAACAATGTTCTTCTCTTTCCTTTACCTTTTCCATCTGGACTCCTCTCTTGCATCTTCCGGATTATCGGTGAGTTTTGGGCCGATGCTGGAAGGATGGGGCTCACCGTCATACCCCTCAGCCACTGGATCGTGATATGCGAACAGGCGTCGCCAACACCTGCGGGATCAACCCGACCAGAAAAGGCTGCCGTCCTTCAAGTGTAGCTACTACTAGCGTCCACCGATTCCTGCGCTCGAGCCACTGCCACTGGGGCTGGGGCTGGGGCTGGGGCTGGGGCTGGGCGACCGACCGGCTGTAGTACAGTAGTACTAGTATTTTCTAGTCGGCAGTCCAGGGTGCAAAACTGTGCTTTTCGTTCGCCACGAAAGGCCAACAAGGTTTGACATGAGTTCAGAGTTTTTTTTGTTTCGGGTTCCAGTGTAAAGGAGATACTGTCAGATAGCACCAGGCCGGCCAGCACTCAGCAGGAGCTCATGACATCCGTCATCACTGCAGTTGGTATTGCCAAAATACTAGTAGGTCTACTACTTACTAGTGGCTGAAAGTACGTGAGGCCATGGCATAGGCTAGGGCCAGTAGGGGCACCCGATCGACCGAGAGCCATAACTACCAGTACTGTACATAATTGTATTCAATTATAATCTGAAGCGCACCACGTGGCGCTCCAAGTGAGCGAGAATTCAAATTTGAACTTTTGAGTAGGTTTGACGCATGCTCAAAATTAAGCGCCTCGAAACTTGTGCATGGATTTGCCCTGAAGAAATTCTCCTCTATCGTGGCGAACGGAATTTTGTTAGGGCTACATTTCGGACTCCGGACTATACTCCCTCGTTCTGTCATCGCAGACAACTAAGCTGGAGTTGCACATTTTTGGGGGTTATCTACTCAGTCGTGTCGTTCCTTGGCTCGTTGAAAAGTTTGACCTGTATTTGTGGGCCGAGAGTGAGTGGCGGATGGGAGAGCTACGGGAGCGAAAGAAAGAAGGCACCAGTCGCTGAAGAATGGTGTTGCGTGAGGGACGTTCTCGACTCGCCTTGGCCATGGTTCTGGTCTTCATGTCCGCTATCGTTCTGTACATCAAGGACAGTATGATCATAACCAGGATTGGATGCATGTATTCCTTACATTGGAGGGTGAACCGAAGCACAATCGGTGTGGGCAGTAGATCTATGGCCAGCAGGCGGATCGTCAGGACAGGATCTGTATCAGGGTCCAGAGTGAAACTGATCCCGGTGAACAGTACCGTGGCGAGCAGCATGCCAAGCGAAGCCAGCGCCACGCCAGGGCGAAGCAGCACTGGGGTAACCAAACCACCGAGAACAATGCCAGTGACCGCCAATACGCACAATACAGTCAGCTGGATCACTACCGCAACCAAGAGAGATCCTGCTGCAGCCCAGTCCATGGTGAAAAGCGTTGAGTTGCGCGGACTGATTCCGTTCGATTGCACCCAGCCCACATCCTGGATACAGCAGTGTGGTAAGTCCTGTACGCGTGGCGCTGCGCCCATACCACGCCTGGTACATTTCGTGCAGATCGGAGACACGCTGGGGTTCACGCAATGGCTGTCCGTCATGTCCGCAGTGCGATTCCTGCGACCTCAGCGTGTCATCCTGCACCACATCGACAACCTGACTACATGCTGGGCAAGACGTATTCGCAGTCATCCGCTGGTACAATTCAATAAAGCAAGAAGGTCAGATTTTCCTAGCAGGCTGAACAACAGGCCCGTGACCTTTCTAGCTCATCTGGCAGATTTTATGCGTGCGTCCGCGCTGTGGCAGTATGGCGGTATATATATGGATTCCGATATGATCATCACCAAGTCGTTTGATGATCTCATGGTCAACGAGGCAGTGTTTGCTGAAGAAATCCGTGGAAACATTTGCAACGCACTCATGCTGTCGAGGAAAGCGTCCTGCTGCATCTGCCAGTTTAGCAAGAAAATGTGTCGAGACTTCGATGGTTCTTGGTCACATCACTCTGTGTTAGCCCTAACTGCTCTGCTGAAGAAGGGCAGGGCACGTGACCGGTACTCGTCTGACGCGGTGCGAATTCTGCCGCACGAGACCGGATTCTTTCCCTACAGCTGGGAACCGGGCGACATGGCGTTGCTCTTCAAACGCAACGCCACAGCATCCCAGTTCACTCCCGGAAAGGTGTACGCCCTACACCTGTACAATCACGCTTTGAAGGAGAGCGGATTTGCAAACGCCACTACCTTCTCGGCCATAGCCGCGGAGCACACACCATATGCGCTATCCAGTAGGAACGTAATACCGTCGTCGTTCACCTTGCGGCATATGGATGAAAAACAGTGCCTGCCTGTGCCTCTAGTCAAGCCGGCCGTCAGTTAGATTTTGGAAATTTCCAAAAAGGCCGTGTTGTTGTTGTTGTTGTTGTTGTTGTTGTTGTTGTTGCTGTTGCTGCTGCTGCTGCTGCTGCTGCTGCTGCTGCTGCTGCTGCTGGTGCTGTTGCTGTTGCTGTTGCTGTTGCTGTTGCTGTTGCTGTTGCTGTTGCTGTTGCTGTTGCTGTTGCTGTTGCTGTTGCTGTTGCGGTTGCTGTTGCTGTTGCTGTTGCTGTTGCTGTTGCTGTTGCTGTTGCTGTTGCTGTTGCTGTTGCTGTTGCTGTTGCTGTTGCTGTTGCTGTTGCTGTTGCTGTTGTTGTTGTTGTTGTTGTTGTTGTTGTTGTTGTTGTTGTTGTTGTTGTTGTTGTTGTTGTTGTTGTTGTTGTTGTTGTTGAACTCTTATTGAAAGACGCATCGCACTGCCTTTGGAGATTCTTCTATAAAGGTAAAACCTTCAAACTTTTATTGACCGGTTGCTTTCTTGCACAAGTAATTACGCTACACTGCGGACTTGCGCCAGACACCCCTTCTGCTACCACCTTCTGCAACTAGCGTTACTCCTAGAGGTCGCTGACGACTACATGGTAGCTGCTTACCTTGCAATAGGCACAGGATTGTGAATAGGCACTCGATTGTGCAGCACCGGACTACAAGACTACTGAGGTCGTTCCCCTACACCCTGATTTGCACTGCGGCATGGAACGACATTCCGGAGCAAGTCCTCCCCCAGCTTCCTGCAACGACGGAATGCAGTACTTTAAATTGCGCATACCATAATGTCCCGTAAAACGCTGTGCCTAGTCCTATAAACGCCGATGTCAGTGCTAGGCTTCTGTTCCAGTCAAGCTCCTATTCGTACCACTTATCTCTATGTATGTCAATGCGAAATCAGGCTTAAACGTTATGTGGTGACAGTCTGTCTCTAAAAAAAGTCTGGCTTGTATTCAAAACAGGCTAATAAGACACACGGCTTTTATACTGGACACTACACTACTAATATCAGCATCGGATGCGCCAGGATTGGCTGAGGGCGAAGTCGTTTCATGGCTAATTTTCACGTTGCTCCATTCTCTAGTCCTACCCTGATCAGTGCATGCCGAGTGTACACGCCACTGAACTCTACTTTTCTCCATAGCGTTACGGAAATGCCTCTCTATAGAATATCCGTGTTTGTCTGTATTTTCCCAATTTTCGTGCTTTTCGGCTGGCCCCTTTCTCGCCAATGTTTGCAATCAGTTCTGCCTGGCAGCCCCTATTCAGTTTTTCTATCTGCCACCCCCAAAAAAGGAATGCCACTATTGTAGTGTAGATTTTTGAACTTTTTGAAATATTTAGGCACTCGAATGGGAAGTCGGCCCTTTCTGACATTGCCCTACGTTTCATGCTGTCGCACTTGTGTCTGGCCAAGCCGCTGCTGGACTTGAAACCGCGGTGAAAGGTGCTGCACTGCGTAGTGACTGGGTTAAAGGGTGGCGTCAAGGTTGCGGAGGTCCTCGGTGTTGGGAGCAGGTCCGTGATCGCACCAATGGGTACTACAATTGGTAGATGACTTAATAATAGCCGTCTGGCATGGTACAATAACCGTTTTTTCTTTTTTCTTTTTCATTTATTTTTAATGGCTTTCTTTTCTACCTCGAATGGTTTACAATCTGTATCGCAATTATTTGTGGGTTCAGCAATAAAGGATGTGTGACTGCACCAATGGGTAGCCAATCCACCGGGACTGCTGCACAAACGTTGGCAGAGACGACACTGGCAAGCGCCAGCCTGGCTACACACCGGTTTCTGCCGTTCCCCCCAAGCATTTGTGACGTTTCTCATGTGATGGGCGAGAGATTGAGAAGTACCTATCACATACATGTACTTGGAAGTGGACATTGGGGGTGAAGGCTCGGGTAGGCATATGTGGATAATACCGGCAGAAAAATTGGCAGAATACCGTACTTTTTCTGGTAAGTTTCATGCATGTTTGGTATGTGGATAAAGAAATGGAGCAGAATTCGAGGAATTGCCCGCCATAAGGTTTGTAATGGTTCTGCCATTTTCACTGCTTTTCGAGCAGAATCTGCCACCTTTTCGAGCATTATCCCCACACCTTAGGCTCGGGTTCGGAACAACGGTACATGCGGCACCAGTCAGGGCGAGAATCTGAAAGATCGTATCATCCCTCCACAGCATTCAGGGTCATTCAGATCTGCACTAGCGCAGTCTTTCCAGCGTTTGCGTGGATCGCCAGGTGGACGGCGGGATGGGAGCAGACTAATTTGGACGGCAAGTGGGCGCTTGTCGCCACACATTACCTCCAGCTGAACTACACACACACACATACATGAACACACACATCCGAGAGCCTCGCAGGCAGGTGATGCACCACCGAAGCAAACAAAATGAAAGGCGGCATCGAAACTGGCTCACGACAACAGAATATGCTAAATCAGCATTCTTCTCCATAATCTGGCACACCAAGGCCTTAGAAAGATGGAGCATTCCTTGCCGAGCATGCCATTGCTTGTGAACACCAGAGGCGTGAAAGACCCACGGTCGATCTGATTGATCCGCTCACTGTAGCTTTGATGCTTCTGCCTCTCATTATTCTGGAGCTATTTGGTGATTTGCTGGCGCGACAGCAGTTCCGACCTTGGGTGTGTAACCCGGATATCGAAAAAGGCATCCCGCTGCCGCGTCCAAAAGCCACCAACCCTGATGTCCAGCCTGGCCTCCTCAGCGCGATTGGCTGTCTTGCCTGCCAGCTGCTCCCCAGCGAAAGGCAGCAGTAGTGGCTCGATCTCCATACACTAGCGCCAAACCTGGTGCAGGTGGCGCCATGTTGAAAACAACCCATGCAACTGATGGTGAGAATTTGGACAGTAAATACTAATGTGTTTTGCTCGTGTCTGCATTTCGATATCAACTGCGACCTTTTGTTGATGTTGACCGTTTTGTCTGCTTCCAGTATCTCCAATTTCTCAGCCAGGCGTAGGAGACACCGCTTACTCGCGTTCGAGGAGGCCGGGCGGGGCCTTGGTGACAACGGCCCACTCGACAGAGTGCGGAGTGTTCTTCCGCTTGAACGTGGCCACAGACATCGCACACAAATTCCTCCGACTCATCGAGACCCACTTCCTTCACGGCTGCCGATTGCGTTAGATGTTCAACTGCAACACCGTCAAGGTTAGTTATTCTTGTATGCCGAACATGTCCGAAATAGTCATATCCGACAATAACCATGTTCAAAGGAAGAGGCAAACAAAGGACAAGAGAGAGCGAGAGAGAGAGAGAGAAAGAGAGAGCGAGAGAGAGAGAGAGAGATAGATAGAGAGAGATAGATAGATAGATTTTATGCGCAGATGGAGAAAACGCGCAGAATTTTTGTAATGAGATGAAAAGCAGAAATAATAAGAAATAATAAGACAAGATGAGAGAGAGAGAGAGAAAGAGAGAGAGAGAGAGAGAGAGAGAGAGAGAGAGAGAGACAGAGACACAGAGAGAGAGAGAGAGAGAGACAGAGAGAGAGAGACAGAGAGAGAGAGAGAGAGACAGAGAGAGAGAGAGAGAGAGAGAGAGAGAGAGACAGAGAGAGAGAGAGAGACAGAGAGAGAGAGAGAGAGAGAGAGAGAGAGAGTCAGTGCCGAGGGTCCTCAACGTCTGTCTCACCGTCCAGGAGCGACACTGACTCACGCTGCTATCTGGTGTTCACGAGGTGTTTGTCGCGCTGGAAGCGGAGCGTCTCTGTAAGTTTGTATCCCTGGTGAGGTTTGTGCCTGGACAGCACTATATAAGTGGTGCTCTTCAGGTACAATCTTCCTCAGCCTACTCAAGCTCAACTGATGAGGGGTGAATTCCCCGAAACACTGTGTATTGAGCAGGGAGTGGTGCTTTCTTACAGGTTTGCCGAGTCGAAGGTTCGATGGACTTCTCGTGTGCTCTGGATGGCAGTCGTGAGTCAGTCAAGTGTCAAGTAAAGTCGGCGGAATAGCGCGAGCTCCGGTGTGGGGAGCAAACCTTTCTGACAAATCATCGCCGAAGTCGCAACCACTACTTCGTACTGTTGTGCCCAGCGCGGGCTTGCGACTAGTTGGTTTGGAGGTGACAGCGTTGCGAATGACCGAGGGTCCTCAACGTCTGTCTCACCGTCCAGGAGCGACACTGACTCACGCTGCTATCTGGTGTTCACGAGGTGTTTGTCGCGCTGGAAGCGGAGCGTCTCTGTAAGTTTGTATCCCTGGTGAGGTTTGTGCCTGGACAGCACTATAAGTGGTGCTCTTCAGGCACAATCTTCCTCAGCCTACTCAAGCTCAACTGATGAGGGTGAATTCCCCGAAACACTGTGTATTGAGCAGGGAGTGGTGCTTTCTTACAGGTTTGCCGAGTCGAAGGTTCGATGGACTTCTCGTGTGCTCTGGATGGCAGTCGTGAGTCAGTCAAGTGTCAAGTAAAGTCGGCGGAATAGCGCGAGCTCCGGTGTGGGGAGCAAACCTTTCTGACAAATCATCGCCGAAGTCGCAACCACTACTTCGTATTATTATTATTATTATTATTTTGGACGGATTGGGAGAACTTCAAATTCAATGGATCAGTTGGGGAAGTGAACTGCCTGAAAAGAGAAAAAATCGCCAGACCCACCAGGACTCGAACCCGGGACCCTGCTTGTCATGAGCAAAGCTCTAACCACTGAGCTATGGGACCGGGCTGAACCTAGAAGGCTGAGTGAAAATCTTGTCAGCGCCTTCTAGGTTCAGCCCGGTCCCATTGCTCAGTGGTTAGAGCTTTGCTCATGACAAGCAAGGTCCCGGGTTCGAGTCCTGGTGGGTCTGGCGATTTTTTCTCTTTTCAGGCAGTTCACTTCCCCAACTGATCCATTGAATTATTATTATTATTATTATTACACAAAGGCACACAATGAAAACCTTGGCAAATTTATTCATTGTGTGCCTTTGTGTACGCCGCTCTGCCTGAATCAGGCATTGAGCACTCTTGCGGAACCAAAGCATATTGCCTCTGTGTATTATTATTATTATTCTGCTGGGATGACGACTACACCATAGCTCAGTGGTTAGAGCAT